AATATCCTCCATAGTACAGGTATCCTCCGACATTCGACTATAAGCGTTTCCGACTAATCTTTGGAATATGGTAACAGGTAGTTTGGCAACATTTTGTTAAGGCGATAAAGGTTACTAGCTAGGACTTTAGCAGTGTACATGGATAAAGTCAAGAGTGTGCGCAATGCCATTTTTGTGCAATTCTGGGATGTTTTTTTAAGTGAAAATAGGTCGATGTGTACATGGATGATACCATGTATGTGCAATTCTTAAAAACGAGGCAAGCAGTGGGCAATTCTGCACTTTCTCCCAATTTCACACCTAATATTCGTCATGATTAAGCACTTTTGTTCCATAAAAGTTCTAGCATAAGCGTAATTCAGCTAGCAGATTGTTGGAAAAAATGTTGAGTAAAAAAAAAAAGCCTTCACTTCGTGAAATTCACCGCGTTTCCTTTCAACAAACAGGACACTTATAATGGCAACTAAGTACACTTTCATTTACACACCAGACCAGTCAATTAATGCTTTTTTTCCCTTTCATTCGAAATCATACAGAAACTTCAAAAATTAATCTTACAACATTCTGCCATTTTACCGCGTAAACCACAAAATAACAAGGTACCAAAATCCATCCCATCATTCAAATTCACATCAATCATGCAACCAATTATGTCATAATAGGGTTTCCATAGCATTCAACTACTTAGATTACCATAAATTAAACAACAACTTGGCAATAAATGAAACAACAACTTAGTGATAATCCAAAGGGCACCCTTCAATCTACTCTAATCAAATTTAGGTTGATCTTTACAATATGGTAACTGGTAGTTTGGCGACATTTTGGAGGCGATAAAGGTTACTACCTGGGACTTTGGTAATAATGTGAGCAGAACTCAGTTCCGATTACACATTATTTTGTGTGAGGGAAATGAGAGATCATGGGATATTAATGGAAGAATTACGGTTCTTTAATCGGAAAAGGGGGGAAATCGGGAAAAAATCTGGAAATTTTGTATTTGGCTTTATTCTGTGTTGTGTGAAATAATGTTCGTGAATTTGTGGATCCCATGGCCATAACTAAAGTGAATTCGAAATGGGTATTTATGTATGAATTAATTTAATGTATGTGCTCATTTATATTTTAAGTAGTGTTTTTGAATTTAATTATATTTTAAATGATAGTTATTTTGTTAATTTTAGGTTTGTAGGAATTTGGTATAAGTTTTAGTTGAGTAAACGTGCATGGAAATAATTTAAATCTGACACTAAGTATTTGTAATGGTTTGCGGTACGAATTCGTTGGTGACGTGTATAATGTAATAGATGATTTAGAGGTAAAAGTTTTTGGATATTTTATTTATTTTATATGTGGAAATGTTCTATTTGGAAAGGGGTAAATACTTTTTCGCGATCAGGTAATTTCATATATGTTCTTTTACCGGGTTTAAAGATTGAGAAAATTGTCATGTATTTTCGTGAAATTTTTCTAATTTATGAGAAAAAAGCAGTGTACATGGATATAGTGAAGAGTGGTCACAATGCCATTTTGTGCAATTCTGGATGTTTTTTTAAGTAAAATAAGTCGGCATGTACATGGTTAGTGATATTTAATTAAATGATAATTATTTGTGAATTTTATGTTGTAGGAATTGGTATACGTTTTAGTTGAAGTAAACGTGCATGGAAATAATTTAAATATTTGACACTAGTATTTGTAATGCTTGCGGTATGAATTCATTGGTGATGTTTATAATTAATAGATGATTTAGAGGTAAAAGTTTTTGGATATTTGTTTATTTTATATGTGGAAATGTTCATATTTGGAAAGGGTATATAATTTTACGCGATCGGGTAGTTTCATATAGTTTTCTTTTTACCGGGTTTAAAGATTCAGAAAATTGTCATGTATTTTCGTGAAATTTTTTTAATTTATGAGAAAAAAGCAGTGTACATGGATATAGTGAAGAGTGTGCCCAATGCCATTTTTGTGTAATTCTGGGATGTTTTTTTAAGTAAAAATAAGTCGACGTGACATGGTTTATGTGTATGTGTTATTTTGAAAACGGTAAGGAGTATGGTATTGTGCACTTTTTCCCAATTCTGCAGTGAATATTTGTCATGATTAAGCAGTTTTGTTTAGATAAAATTTCTAGCATAAGTGAATTCGCTAGTTATTGTTGGAGAAGTGTTCAGTAGATAAAAAGAAAGAAACATGTCTTTACTTCGTGAAGACAAAATGGCAGCGGGGAAAAAAAATAGAGGGTTGCTGTAGGAGAGTTGGTCGCCAAATTTTCGCCAAAAAAACGCCAAGTTACCATAATGTAAAGATCAACCCAAATTTAAGTTAAGATCTAGATGCTTCTTGTCCAGCCAATGAGTTATCTCTGAGCTTGGATAAATGAACTAACTAGAAGAACCACCCCTAATGCTATTTCAATTTATTCTAAAAAATTATGCATGGTAGACCTTGTTTATATAGCTATTGTTAACTATTCCATAAATGTTCAATGAACAACAAATCTAATAGACAGAAGGTATGGAATGCAATAATATATTTTCAACATAAACTAGATCAAATGTTTAAAAAAAAAAAAAAAAAATTCAAGAGAAGGAAAGAACTAGTTTATAGAAGTTACAAACATATGGGGAAAATGTGAACATATTCATACTTGTTCTACAACAATCGAAATCTTGCAGGAGGCTAGGAATCCTTATTTCTGTTAAATCTTTTGATGTTTTTTATTTGCAGTTTAATAAAACTGCAAATAAAAAACTTACCTTATTTTTGCAGATTATAAGTTTTGCATCAGTTTAATAAAACTGGTGCAATGCTACAGTAAGTATACAGATACAATTGAATATCTTATGCTGAATCAGCATGCTTCTCTTATAAAATAGCTCCTGGGATTACAAGCATGTAGAGAAACATGTCAGGCCTTAAAATATACTTATGATATACTGTTAATACTTCAGAGACTTTGGGTTAACCAGCAATATACTACTATAATTTAGAAAACTAATAAATGATTTTATATTGCAGAGATAGGCCACCCCACTTGTGGTCAAGCACTCAAGACCAGAAAATACTGGTAGTTTGACCCAGGTTCAAATCTAAGTTAAATGAACAGGACGTATGTGCATTTTAGATGTTGTTTTTTTTTTTTTTTTTTTTTTTTTTTTTTTTTTTTTTTCCTCCCCATGTAGAATACACATTTGAATCAGTATCCCAATGAAGAGATAACTTCTATTTTCATGACTAGGTCCAAAAAGCAAACAATTAAAAAAATACAATAAAGTACACAGAATAAGAATACATATATGACTGGAAGAGCTATTCAGATATAAATAAAAGGTTAGTCTATATTTTAGGGTGCCCCTTGTATTATCGCCAAGTTGTTGTTTGGAACGAAATGTACAATTTGGAACAAAAGGGAAAAAAGCATTGACTGGTGTGTAAATGAAGGTTTACTTAGTAGTCATTGTAAGTGCTTTGTTTATATGAAGGAAATGCGTATGGTTGAATGCAAAGATGGTTTAGATGGCTTTGTCGCAAGAAAGGTTCATGCAAGAAATGTCACCGACAGTCCAGTACTACGGAGGACATTTTTTACTCTTATTTTTGTGAATTTATGTGGTGACGACAGTATGCATATTCTAGTTCAGATAATCTTAGAAAGTCTTTGGATACTGTTAAGGACTTTTGTGTGCCACAGACTAAAGACACAGAAATTTCTAAATATGGTAAGTTGATATTTCCTTTTCTATGTTATTTCATTGTGTGATTTAAAATGCAGTTTATTGAGCTTCGATTCGCTACAAATTTTGTTCAATTTTGATGATAAGTAACTTTGTTTTAACATTATACGGCATCATCATTCTCCTGATTTTTTTTAAGTGAAAATAGATCAATGTGTACATGCACAAAGGGAGTGTGCAATGCCGAGTTTGTTCAATTCTCTGATTTTTTTAAGTGAAAACAGATTGATGTATACATGGACAACGAGTATGTGTAATTCTTTGACTTGTTACTTTGGTTTTGTGTAGCGGCCATCTTGAAATTGTGCCTTGCTGCCCAATCACCAATTTTCGCCAAGGGGCAACCTGGAATATATTTTTACCAAATAAAGATAATGGCTGCAACTGTTGGCCTATGGAAGGTTAATACGCAAGAACCTTTTTTTTTTTTTTTTTTCCATAAAGTTTCACTATTATGTTCTGCCTTCTCTACATTCTACGTCATTATATGTATGAATTAGAAGGAACTGGAAAAGTGCAAGAAAGGTATCAGATTTTAAAAATTCTCATTCTAAATGAAACTTCCAGAAATCCAATTTTACTATTTAACACACAACACATACCTAACACATAGTTTTAATCAAGTGTCATCGTAAAATTCAAAATGAATAAATCAAAACATATTTCCTTACAGATCTCACCTGTCAGATATTATTATATTTTCTGGCCATCATACTGTTAGTCCAATAAAATAAACACAACTCAAAGTGTTTCCCAGTGTTTCACTAAATTATAAGTTTTGACAGATAATGGATGACCAGATAGCTTTAATTTGTCACTCGAAGGCTATATGCTTACACAAAAATACCTGACTTTTCATGGGAAACAGTATCACATTTTCGTTACACACCACAGGAACTACGCAAACATATTCCATCGCAAGAAATCAACCCCTAAACAATATTTTGAGGCTTTTACAAGGCTGCTTGTAAGATGGTAAAATTATTAGGTTATTTTATTAACTGATAAGCAATATAAATCTCAATTTTTGAACTAATCTGACACATCTGAAGATTAAAATACGCAATCAATTATCATAACAAACAATAATTCTATAAACATTACAAAGTACTTTTCCCAAAATATCAATGAAAAATCCCAATTATTTTAAGAAAATTCATTAATTATAACATTGCTTTAATGATATACAGCTAATATTACGTTTATGTGTTAGAAATATTCTTCACCGTTTGTACCGAATGAATTACGACTAAAAATTACCTTTTCTTTGATAGCTATTTAAATCAATTTCACAACGATTTTCAGTCATAAGTTTTCATTTCATAAATACTACTATTCTGCCAAATCTGAAAATCGAATTTATAACAGCTATTTGATAAAAGATACACTATAGCGGATTTGGCATTAAAAACAAAACGATGCTTTCACATCTGGCAACAGAAACTAAAAGAGAACGCATCGAAAAGAGACGTAGACCTATCGCGCAACAGTAAAAACGACGAAAGGTGACGCTTCGGATAATATAAACACCAGAATGCTCGGGCGTGATGTCCAGCCTCTATCGAAAATTTCGAAATATTATATTGTTCTTGAATTATTTGTGGAATGAAAGTTGGTGAAAAGCATATTTTTGCATATTTACTTAAAATTTCATTTGATTTGTGTTTCGATCTATGAGTATCGCTAGCTGTTCGAACTGGGAGTTCATAATGTTTGCAAGGAGGAATGTTCACAAAGTTAATAAAAAGTTTAAAAAATCATGAAATCCGTACACAATAGCCCATAAAACAAGAAATAGTAAGTACAATCCCTCTTATGCAACAAATATACAGTTATGCATATAGTAAAAATATTAGGAAAGTAAAATATTTACAAAAAAATATTCAAAAATACCAATAATAATACATGAATAAATTTGATATAAATGCATATAAACAGAAGAGTTGCAACAGAGGAACAGTGCGGTGAAAAAGATCAATAAATAAATATTTGCTTTCTAAAGATGGCTATTGGACCTTTAATATCTGTAGGAGCTCACTAATCATATTTTTAGATAAGAATAATGCTGCTGCTTTTATTTCGGATGTTTAAATGATAACTGTAAGTCGGGTGGACATAATAAGAGCGTAACTGTACAACTTCAAGTTCTTGGTGGCTTCTATTATTTCGAATATACTATGGACGATTGAAGATTTGACGTAGAATACCGTATTCAGGTCTTTTTTCTTCCTTCTACAGGAATAAGCCCAGACAGAGCAAGCATGGTATAGCAGTGGACGTAATATGCTCTTATAAAGAAGTAACTTTTTGCCTTTAGAGAACACACTGCTTTAAGCAATTAGGGGACAGTGTTCTGCTTTATGTACTCGAAAATACAAGATAATAAATAAAATTATGTGGAGAAAAAAGGGGGTTAATAAAAGTTGTAGGTCGACGATTATCCTCAGATAAGTAACTCAGGGCAAAGTGGTGGAATGGAGACGAGGGTTTCCAGTCCAGTTCCTTTTTCTCATGAGAATGGTAGCAGTGGATTTATCAGTATTTTTTACCCTTTTCCTTTTGACTAGCCAGGCATGGGCTTGGGGGTGGTTTTGTGATGCTGGACGAAGAAAAGCATTTTGGGATAGGATAGCTGTGCCATCAGCACAAAGTGCAAGAGTAGTGTGGGGTGACTGTGAGATGTCGTTAACGTACAGCCGATGTAAACTTTGGGGTACATCGGCTGAGATTATCCGGTGAAAGGAGCAGGTGTTTGAGACTCACATGACGAAGATTATCTCTGTTAGTTAGGCGTTAAATATGTTTCCTGGGAAACTCAGATAGATTAACTTGTGAAT